ATTTTGCCAGTCTCTGAAGAACTTTAGAGGTCTCTACAGGGTGATTTTATCTACCATCCATGGATGTTTTTGTGTCCATCCAAATGCTTAGTCATTTGTTTTGGAGACGCCCAAGTGCACCTGGTCAACTTTTTGAACTCCATGCGCTTCAATCATTCTGGCTGAAGGAAAGTACATAGCGGAAACAGCAATTACAAAGAGACATGAGATACTCAGCGCTCGTCTAACCCATCCCTAACCATAACCTCCCACACCGCATACCAACACTTTTCACATTCCCCGCGGAACCCCCAAATCATGGCGAACTCAGGACAAGTACGTGCAGCCTCTCCTCCAAAGGCGCTGAACTAGACTAACAAACCCTAAAGCGCACACAGCAGGTCCCCCAACATGTCACTGCGTTGCTCTCACACCTCACATCGCGCCCGGGCGTGCAATCCACCTTGATTCTCTCCCGCAAAGACGGGTCAATCATCCAAAGCACAGGACAGCTAGCACAAATGACTGAAGAAAACGGAAGCTCTCGCACCGCACAAATCACCCCATCCACAACCGACCCGAACCCTCTCTCCGCTGCCCAGCCCACAGACCCGTCCCCTACCTCGCCTACCGTGCCACAGCCCTACCAACCCTCGCAAGCCGAGACACTAGCCGCCCACATCTTCGCTTATGTCTCTAGTGCCGAGGCACTTGGTGTCTCGCTATCGCGGCCCACGCTCCCAGTACAGCGACCCAGCGACAGCCATTGGGATGTTAACTACGACCACGGGAACGAGACGGGCACAGCACGCGAGGAAGACCGGGACGGCGAGGATGTCGATCGAGATGAGGATGGGGAAGTGAAGCTGCTTCGAATGCGCACAAAGAAACATGAGATCGTTGTCGTGCCAGATCGGAAGTACCTTCTTTGTGTCGTACATGATGCCTACCCCAGTGGAGGACCTGGGGCGGCGGGCCCACGCTCTCGGTAGTGGAATTATGGTTCTATATTGTGAATATGGCTTCTCTTGTGTGGTTCTTTCGGGATTTTCTTTCTTGGTGTGTGTTTACGGGGGTTTGTTTTGTTGGCTTTGGATTTCATACATATACCCGATGGAAGCAAAATCTTCGCATTTAATTCATGTTTTCCATGTCATGGCTATGTGTAGGACTGCCTATGTATGGGTTGTCAAGAGATAGGCGTCTATCTGTTCAGTTCTACCAAATTGCTGTGTTCCATTGCTTTATAGGGAGGGATCGTACTACAGGCAACGTGGGTGGTTGTTTGAGTGAAGCAACCTACTGTTTCTTTTCATATAGATCTGTCGATCGCAAGCTCTATGATGTAGAGCCGCCATGTCCCTTACCAGGTCCTTGAGACGGAATGAAATCGAAGTACAACGTAGCTGGAGACCGGAGAAATCCGTTTACAGCTCCACTGTTTACCCCTCTCAGCGGGCGAGACAATCATCAAGTGGACAGATATCCTTCGTATCTTGCAATCCTCACACCAAAAAAGCACATCTATCATCTAGCTATATCAAGTGAATTTGATAATATTCAAAATGGCTTCTGCTCTCGATGTTTCGGCAGCTCGCTCTCGCTTCCCTGCACTGCAGCAGAAGCAAGTGTATATGGATAATGCTGGTGAGACGAGCCTCCATTTGCGGGCCACGATAGCTTTGAGATACATGCTGATTGTTTAACTACAGGCGGAAGTCAGGTTCTCGATACTGTGGCCGACTCGTTAGTTTAATCGATCCCATTGTAGATTACTATATATATATATATGTACTGACGCGGCCATAGCATCCGTTATTATCTGCTGAACACGAATGTCCAGCTCGGAGCCAGTTACAAAGTCTCACAGACTTCGACTAATGCATACGACAATGCGTACAAAGCGGCTGCTGGGTTCACCAATGCCGCGCCGGAGGAGGTATATGCACTATAATCCATTACCCTCCAAGAAGTATCAGAACTGCCCAAATTTCGGGTGCTAATGCATGAAATCGGAAACAGATTAGCATCGGTATCTCAACTACCCAGCTACTGCACAATCTCTCTACGGCGCTCAAATTCCAACCTGGTGATGAACTGGTCCTATCCAAACTTAACCACGAGGCCAATACCTCCCCGTGGGTCCATATAGCAGAGAGGTTGGGTTTGACCGTAAAGTGGTGGGCTGCTTCCAACCCAAAGAACCCAGTGTGCGATCCATCTGAGTTGAAGTCCCTACTCTCCGATAAGACCAGACTTGTAGCATGTCCTCATGCTTCCAATATCACTGGCACCATCAGCCCCATCCGAAAGATTGCAGACATTGTTCATGTTTATCCTCGTGTGAGTAATTATAAAGTCTACTGGTTTCGGCTCGTGGCTGACACGAACTTATACAGGCACTACTGTGTGTGGATGGAGTGGCTCTAGCTCCGCATCGTCAGGTCGACGTGAAGGCGTTGGACGTGGATTTCTACGTAAATTGCAACCCAAGCTTTTGCATGACTGGTTCATTGCTGATCTCATCCCCACTAGGCATTCTCCTGGTACAAGGTGTATGGACCACACTTGGCGCAACTATATGCCTCATCACGCGTTCACGACCAGATCCAGTCGCTGGGGCATTTCTTTAAGCCTACAGATACGCTAGACCTGAAGCTCAATCTCGCATCGGCTAATTATGAGCTTACACAGAGTATTCCCCAGGTTGTGGAGTACTTTGGCTCCGACCCTAGCATGGCCTGGGCCCAGATGGCCGACCATGAGGAGCAGCTGCAACAGATTCTACTAGATTTCCTAGTTTCTAATAGCCGGGTTGATATTATCGGTGAACCTTCAGCCAGCAAGGAGCTCCGCGTGCCGGTTATTAGTTTCGTTGTACAAGGAGTGGGCAGTCAGCGCCTTGTGGAGGAGGTTGAGCGTCGATCGGCCTTTGGGTTCCGCAGTGGTCATATGTACAGCCACCGGCTACTGGCCGACGTGTGCGGATTGGAAAATGTGGAGGACGGGGTGGTGCGGGTCAGTTTCCTGCACTATAACACCGGTGAGTGGATATATTTCGATTGGATTTGTTCGACACTAACAAGGACAGAGGCTGAAGTACGGGGGCTGGTAGAGGTGTTGCAAGAGGTGCTTGGATCCTTGTAGTTGTAGATAGTTTGTGTACATCGTTGGACAGTATACTTGGGTTATCTTGATATATTTTTTATCAGGACTACATGCTATGAAATTTTTTTTTCTTAAATTTGTGTTTTTCTCCCACTACAACTACAACCGACTGCATATTTTGCCACTTGGCTGCCCTGTAATGGTGATCTCTAGGGCACGAATATTTGAACTTTCAATCATCCACACACCACCCTGAAGCCTAACCTTGTAACACATTTCTTTGTTTTCAGCCTAAGTTCCCACCATGAAGTCATATGAGTTCACTTCCGAGGTTCCCCAGCTCCATCTGGAAGGCTGCAGGCAACCCCAACCAGCGACGCCGATCACCACATCAGCCAATAAGCATAGAGATAATTATGGAATAATGGGAATGATAGTGGATCGCAGCCTAACAGCCGCGCGTAGATTGGCCAAGGTGCGAAGACAGCGTGGCAAGCGGCTTTATGACTCAGTGGAACTTAGGAACAGAGCCTTCAGACTGGATGGATTTTATAGCCATTGTGGTGTATTATGAACCTTTCTGAAGATTGAACATTTCCCTTTTTGCTGATTTGTTAATATGGTATTTTTTCTTTTACTTTAAATCCAAATTCATCACACTATGAGTGGCTACACAAACCTAAGGTGCCACTGCATGGTGAAGTCCATTCTCGTTAATAGGTCCTTTTTATGTGTAGATAATAAGCATGTTATAAGACGAAACCCAAGATTGGCATGATAATAGATATGGAATATATGTATACAAGATAGAAGATATTAGACTATCTGATAAAATAAAATAGATATAATAGATATAATAGCATGTAATAGCATGTAATAGTATAAAAAAAAGGTGATAGAAGCGTGAGTCACCGTTGTACCACTCCAAGGCCTCTCTCCTCCTCCCCTTCTGCCCTCCTATCTCGGAGTCTCTTCGCCGCATCCGGGTTTTCCCCCTCTCACCCATCTCAGAATGTTCCTCTCTTGATTATACAGGAGATTCTATCAGATTATAAAGAAGTAGAATATTTGACTATATTCTATTTCTATATACGTGTGGTCCCTGCGCCTCCCGGCATCTTCCTAACCCGCCACCCACTTCTTCGCCACAGTGTGACTTTCTTTTCCCCCTTCCCATTTTTTGCCCCCCCATCGTCTTAGTCAAACTCCATTTTAAAGAAAAAAGAGTCATAGGTAAAGTTGTTCCATAAAAGTCCCCTTCCCTTCTATTCTCTGACTCTAACATCTCCATCTCGCCTCCCTTCAGCCTCATCCCCCCTCCCGACTCTCGCCTCCCTCTCTGCCTAGCCGCTTCAGCGACTGCCTTGTACAGACAGCCACCAGTGTGGTTCTGCCTGTCCACGGTCCGTTGGGTGCCTTGATATAACTCCTTTTCCATCACACGACTCATTTCAAAATGTACCTTATTGATTCATCCGTTCCGATCGCCTGTGTTGCTGTTACCGACCTCCGCATCGTCACCGTCTCTGGCTCCATCTAATACTACTCATCGGAAAGAGTCATTCCCGCCACGTGCCCCTGCTTTGGTTCTTATATCAGAAGCACTTGGTTGATCGGATCGTGAATACGTTTTCCTTTTCTTGTTTTTATAGTTGATTGTTTCCCCTTTAACCTCATTTTTTAACCGCTACACCCGGCGGTTCCGCTTATTTTTCTACGTCTGGTTACCAACCTGGCTCTCTACATTTAAAGGTCTGCCGTCGCCTTCGTCGCAAAGACGGCTTCTGTCTCCTCGGCTCTCGTTCCCGGTTCCCTGCTTAACGGTATCTTGACACTTACGGTTCCAAAAATCGGACCATCTCGCTTTTATCCGACTGTCTTCATTTGAACATTTGTTCACACAAACGCCCTATATGAACTCCACAGTACTCCCGGATATGCCAGGGATGGACGTCTTGGGGTTGAACCTCTCAAACCCAAGTTCTCAATTGACAGCGTCCCACCATGCTCACCCCTATGCATCCTCGATCTCCTCCTCCGCCTCCTCATCTTCCTCATCTGTATTCTCTCTCGATTGCGTTTCCTCGCAGAGCTCGATATCATCGACATCGACCAACCCGGTTGACGTGATTTGGGAGAATGAGAGTAATAGCCAGTTGGCGGGAAGAAATCCGAACGGAGCATGCCCCCGGGCTTTTGCCAAGGGACCTGCTTCCAAGGTGGACGGTGTAGTGCCATCCGAGCTGCGAACGCATCCTCGGCGCACTAACAGTTATTCTTCTAGCGCTCCCAGTGCGCGCCCTCCGCCATGTCTGCTACGGCAGTCGGAACGGAAGGTGAACTTCGTCGACAACCTCGTCGGTAAGTCTTGAAAAAGGACTCCTCAAGTACGTTTTGTACGCCCGGCTAAATAATATTCCCCCTCCTTTAAGACACCGCATCACAGATTGTTGAGACCATTTGGCCCCTTTCCGCCGCGGCATCCCGTAGTGATGCCGCGACCGGATCCAAAGGGGTTCTTCCTCTCCGCACTTTTATCCAGGAGACACTCCGCCGCTCGCGTACTAGCTACAGTACCTTGCAGGTGGCCTTGTATTATTTGATTAAAATCAAGCCCCACGTGCCCACGCATGACTTCACTAAGGAGCAGCCTCGCGATCAGTCGCCTTTGCGGGCGATGCAGTGTGGACGTCGGATGTTCCTAGCAGCGCTGATTCTCGCTTCAAAGTATCTGCAGGATCGCAACTACTCCGCTCGTGCCTGGAGCAAGATTTCTGGCCTTAATACTCTTGAGATTAACCAGAATGAGCTTATGTTCCTCAAGGCTGTCGGATGGCGCCTGCACATCGATGAGGCAACCTTTCAGCGTTGGACTGACTTGGTCTTGAAGCTGACCCCTGGTGCCGGTGGACCCCCGGTTGCTAAAGGTCAGTGCTGGCAGACTGTCCTACCCAGACTCACTCCTGAACTGGACCTCGTAGAGTCAGAGCCCATGACCCCAGTTTCGGCGATGGGTGGGATGGATCTCGGTCTGTCAGAATACCTCTCGCCTCGTAGTCTGCCAAGCAACGAGTCGGTACGCTCCTTGCCGTGCGAACAAACTCCGACTTACGCTCGGACTCTTCCGCGAACCCTGGAGCCGACTCCGCGCATGGATTTTGCCAACTTGGCTTTGCCCAGTGTTCCACGGCCTCTGATGCTTCCCACGCCACAGATGACCCCCCAATCTCAAGTGTCCTCCACTCCTGCTGCGAGTTTGGCTGCTTACAACCCCCGTCGCCCATCCATATGTACGGCTATGTCTCAGGCGCAGAATGCGTGCATGGCGCGATCAACACTCGATCAGCGCCCGCCCCTGTCATTCTGCCCTCGGACTCAGTCGTACGATGGTTACCCGGCTGCGGCTCGTCGGTCATCTTTGGCTCGCTCGACCTCCTCGGCATCGTCGCCTGACTCGATGGTTTCGGATGTCTCTACTCTGTCGTCCCGCTCGTCGCGGTCGTCATCAGTCTCGTCTAACGCCTCGGGTACTTCTGGCTCGGCGCCAGCTCGTCTGGCTGTTAAGGCCACATTGCGCTGCACAAGCAACTCCCTCAAGGAGTCCCGGAAGACTCTGGCCATTGCCTCTCCGATTGATGAGAGTTGTCTGGTCGGTGTCTACGGCTCTCCTGAATATCCTAGTTCCATGGGTTCTTCGGTCCCAGACCTGTCTAATTTCCCCCTGGATTCCAGCCTGAGCGAAGCTGCTCAGAGTCTCTGCGAGCTTTCTGGCGCGACGCCCGAACGGCGCCAGTGCCGAAAACGTGGACGTACTGGATCCGACGATCTCTTGCTCCAAAACCATGTGCGCCATCTGATCAACCTCGGCGCCTCCGGAGACCAATCCGTGTTGCCTGATGGAAAGTTCCCACGCTCGTTCATGACGCAACATGGGTCCTCCATGACCCCTATGCAGACTGGCCCAGTCTCTGGACCAGCAGGCATGAAACGTGCCTGCTGTGGCAGTGAAGCACGCAAGATCGCGTTGAACCCGAGCCTCCGTGTTGCGGAGTACTTGAATTAACTTACGATTTATTAGCGGATTTCCTTTTTTTCTTATTTCCTTTGTGCGAGGCAAAAAAAGAAAAAGTCCGTCGTTCTGTTTTTTGTTTTCCCTACGACGAGCCGACCCCGTTGTACATACCCCTATTCTCGGGCACTCGGTCGTACGTATTGGGACTTGGGCGTTTGATTCCCACGGTGTGTACGATGTGGTGATGACTGGCATGTCTTCTACTTGCATCGTGCATCTGTTCTCTCACTTTTTCCCCTTTCTTTTATCTACTTGTGTGGTTGCGAACGGAGTGTGGTCGGCATGGGACGGTTATGGTCTTTATTTACTCTGGTTACTTTGGGGGATGGAAAGTGGGCGTCTGCCCTGATTATACCTGTATCAACTCATCCATCTAGGGGATGGTATATCTACCATTCCCGAGGGCGAGAAACCCTCGGATAGGATAGTCAATCCAAATACAGCTCAAGAGCGATATCGGCCCCCTCCTCGTATTCCTAAGCGCCCAGGCAACTGCCCAGATGTGCACATGACAGGGTCTGACCGTGCAACCATTGCACTGGAACCCATGGTTCCGCTGTGAGTCATTCAGGCGTCGACGGTGGCGCTGTATGTGGCTGTGGACCTTGGATGTGGCTGTGGGGGATTCCCGAGCGAGTGGCGGGTATTAGCCCCTGGTTTCTAAGTATAGAGTGGAGCTTATGCACAGCACATATTGGTCACAGCTTCGCTTTTGCAAGCTGTATCCATTTATTACAATTCTGGGGTGCTCGAGCATATGCAGACAAAAGTCCCATGTCTGTCTGCAACTAATTTTAAACCCAACCCAATACTAATGAATAGCATAACGTGGAAGCTAACAAGGTCTTCCTTCCGCCTTGATCGGACGTCCTGAGAAGTCAAATGACATACTCTACATTACGCTGCTCTTCATTTGCATCCCCCTAGTTATAACACTGACTTGGGAAAAGGACATTAGAAAAGATATCGATCAAGGCTTTAACATAATCTCAAATACAACGGAAAGGCTTGGCACAACACCAATAATAAAAGACATCACGGCGCGCCAGTTTATGCCAGACATACTCTTGCCCGCGAAGCCCGGGATGGAGAATGTATAGCGATATGTCGGGTTGCTGGGCTAGTATGGGGTGTTGTATTCTTAGTGGGTTCGAAAATTGTTAGCATTAAAACGTCACTTTAGAACTAATAGCTCCGACGGAGCAAAATCTGTTCGGAAACTCGCCTCCACCGGAACTCTGGCTGACCTGGAGGTTGGTGTTAAGCCTAACTGATTCGAATGAGACGGAGAATAAACTCCTTGAGATGATATCACTTCTTTTACTAATGGAGCCGATGGAGCGGTATGGTATTAATGAATTTCTCTGAAGCGAAGCGAAGGTAATCCCCTGTCTTAGTGTACAATCTCAATGGATACTATATAACAATACATGAAAACACATGCCGGAGAAAAAGCTTCGGGATCAACTTCATCACTACTCGACTCTTTTGCGGACGTGCTGGTCATTCACTGGTCATCATTTCGGCCTTCGAAGCTAAGTGCTTCTTCATCTGGCTATCATGGAGGGGCTGCATGCCGGTCACGTCGCTACACTTGAGGCTAAGTCTGGGGAATACTGCCCTAATACTAGAAAAGATATAATAATTCCTGCAGCATAGTATGATTGAACATAACGTTCGACCGCATTATATCGGGGCCAAATGGATATTCAAGTTCGTAGAGCCCTACGTTTTTAAGGATAAAAAGGCCACTTAAGGGGTTGACTTATTTCTGAAATTGGCCACTTGAATATTAACAGAGACATCTACATGCCACTCAGTATAGAACAAAAGATTCACATCAATACCAGATAAAGCCTAGATAGCCTTTTCCACATCCATATGTTTCTCCTGTGTATCAGGAACCACGTCCTTCCTATCTGGGTCATCTGCTTCCATTCCTTCGACCACCGTACCTCTATCATATATCTCATCAGGTAGCACAGCGCGGTCAATCCGAGTCTCTTGTGCAGGAAACAGCCATGATAACAGCATATAGGCAATAGATGTGGCAACAAAGCCCAACAACCATCCAAACTCATACGGATGTACACCGGAGCCAACATGGATATGAGAGTTCACAGAATTGATTAGTCCGGGAAGACATGGCACAACACCAATAATAAAAGACAACACAGCACGCCAGTTTATGCCAGAGATACTCTTGCCCGCGAAGCCCGGGATGGAGAATGTATAGCGATATGTCGGGTTGCTGGGCTGGTATAGAGCCAGGGCGTCATATCGACAACGGTTGACAACCCAGAAATCAAACATCATAATTGCAGCAATAGGACCAAGGAAGATCGCGTATGCAGACATGAAAGAAAGGAAGTTGCTTGCTGATGCGAGGATTTTCCAAGGAACAAGACACCACGACAACAAGGCGCATAGGATCTGCCCGCGCCGGATATTGATATACCGTGGTGCCAATGCGGTAAAATCGTTAGCGGCTGAAAGAGAATTGGCCGAGATGTTCACGCCCAGGGAGGCCAGTGCGAAGGAAGCTGCGCCGAAAAAGCGACACGCTCGGTTGGGCCAGTAGCTGATCAAAACCGTTGGATCCCAGGGAATAGACGAGAGATTATAGTGAACTTGGCCGGCGGATGAGGCAGCAATTCCAATAAAGGCGAAGAAAGTGAATACAATAGGTAGCATGGGGATATAAAGGAGCTGCCAGCGGGGACTGATCCGGGAGTAGCGGGAGAAGTCAGACTGATGACGGTTAGCTTTTGCGACAGTTGTTAGTATGGCAGCATCAAAAATACCTACCATATTTACAGTTAACGTCGCATAATTTCCTAGGACCGATGTCATATTGGCCAAGAACAGCCAGCTATACTTGGACCCGGAGACGGTTGGAGCCTGCTTTGCGAATACGCTACCACCGCCTTTCACAGTGACAAACGACCATATCAAGATAGCGATCCAAGCGATGGGAACCAAAATCGATTTGATCGTGAATAACCAGCGCAGCTTGTTTGGATGCATACAGAGGAACGGAACCTGGATCAACCAGAAGATCAGAAACCCGACCATACCACCAGTCGTGATTCCCTGTGACTCGGGAATACCGTTTGGAAGATCCAAATAGCTTGGCCATATTGCTCCAATCATGACACGCACAGCATTTCCGCCGTTAACATTCTGGATAGCAAACCAAAAGACAGCAAGGACGACTCGTGAAATGATGGCGATGTATGAGCCCCAAAAGCCCCAGCTAGCACGAGCAATCACGGGGAATGGAACGTGGTATATGGCGCCCACAGTACCGTTTGCAGCAATGACCCATGATATAATGAAGAAGGATAAGGCGACGATGCCCAGAGCTTCACGATAGGTGAGGCCGACGGCAAGCATACTACTGGCGAATTGCCAGGTCGCTGCGTTCAAAGCATCGGAGATCCAGTAAGCTAATAGATAGCATGTTCTATTAGTCCTAGCCTGGTATTTGCAAAGATAAGCACAAGTACCGCACCTATTATACTGGATATACCCCATTTGCGGCCATGTTTGGCAATCGGGTCGAGATCACGGTTTGTCCACCGTGCATTGCCTGCTGCAAATTCAGACTCGCCCTGCGAGACCTTCATACGCGGCCTAGAGATGCGTAGCTTCATGGTCGAAGATGTAATCGGTGAGGTGGATCCACGGATGTTCTAAAGATAAGGAGGGTTCAAGCCCCGGTCCTTTCGGTGTATATATTGATGTAACACCACAATGTAAGGGGCGGAACAGCTCAATAATATGAAACATAAGACAATGGAATCAAAAAAAAAGCCGGTCCAATGTCTTCTTATTCCCCAGATTTGCCGCCGACTGGTGTCCCGTGCACGACAAGGATGGTTGATAAGAATGATAAGCCTACATTATGTAGATAAGACCAAAGGGGCGAATGAGAACGGAGAGCTCAAAAGTACCTCATAAACCTTAACGCGTAGAGATATAGAGATATGCTTAATTGCTATCCATGCTGCATGCGCAGGTCTAATGCAAAAAAGAAAACTAATGCGATCGTCACTGCGAGCCCTCGGCCATTGGGCGATTCCTATGGAAGTACCTACGTACTCTACTGTTTCTCACCCGGCAAACGAACATCCTGCCACCCTCTTCCATCACCGACGCCCTCTACACTGCCGTGCGGTCGGATCCCCTGCCACTCAGTGAGATTGATCCACCCAATCTGCTGCACGTCGCCAAATCCACCAATCCAGTACGCATGGGTGACCACCAGCCGGGCCCAGAAACTCGCATGAGGCGAGTAAGAAGCACCAGGTAGCCAGACTTTTGCATCAGGATGAGGCTCGAGGAAACACTTCTCGAGGGCTGCAGCTGCGTCATCGGGAAGCGGGGACGGGAGGTTATCCAAGTATCCGAAGAGGGTGACGCGAGGCAGAGCAGCCGGGCTGAGAGGAAGACCAGGGTAGACTGGACCGGCCTCATTGAGATGATCCCACCAGTCCAACTGGAGACTGAGATTAGATCCCGCTGCAATGTTCTTAAAAGTGGTTCCTATGCGCAGGCCGAGAATTGTTGGATCGCCGTTATCATCATGAGATAGATCCGATGGCAGGGACCCATCACAATCGGCAATGTACTCGCGGAGTGCGATCGAGAGGCCGGCCATATCCGACGGGACATGTGCGGAGGGTGGAAGGGATTCTGGGAAGTTGGTGGAGATGACGCCAGAGGGCGATAGAGCAAGCAGGCGGCGGGCCATCAAAGTCGAGGTAAACCATGACGGGCGGTTTAAGGCACTTTCATCTTCAACGTTATTAGAGTCTGGGCCGGGATTCAAACTATTTGGTTGTCCGAGAAAGGCCTGGAGATTGTCCAGAGGTGGGACAACAAAGCCGTGGGCCGTGAGGGGTAAAAGTAGTGCGAGAGCACCAGTGAGGATGGAGGCCGAACGAGAGACCATCATGTTAACCAGATAGACGAGTTGGCATTGAATTAAACTTTAGACGTTCAGAGGAGCAAAGAAGAAGGAAAGCAGAGGGAAACTGGAAGTGCGGAGAACATCCATGGATCAGCTGATGGAAATCTTATCTGATGGGGTCACCTGTTTGCGGTGGTCTCTAGCCGCCAGTGGCGCCACTGATTTTCCTTCAGTCTCCGCATCCAAGTATAGCCGGTTTTTCTTGGCCATACAGTAAGGTAGACACCCGAAAAGACCCTATAAAAGATGTCATAAAAATGCACACAAAATAAAAAAAGATTTGATTGTTCGAGCTAACCACACCCTATCGTCGTCAAGGATAAAGGCCGTATAAGCGGATGATCTATGCCTTGGAAACACCATAATCTAGATATAGTTCCAAGGTTCCGTAAATGACAAAGAGGTATCTCTTTCTGAAGGCATATTAAGGGAAGGATTTGATGATATGGTGAAAGTGGTGAGAGGGCCCGAATGTGGGTAGCAGTGTACCGCTGAAAAGATAAAAGGAATATACATGTCAAAATGATATTCATCATTGGTATTTGAGAATATTGGATTAACTACGTGACAGACATATGATATGGTATCATGTGGATGCCGGCATGTACATCGGGATTGACGTTGCGGCGCTTACTTGCGCTTCGGCTTGGGCCGGATGAAAGGGTCTGTCTCCTTCTTTTTGCGTGCCATCGGGGGTCGAGGCTTAGGAGCACCTTTGTTGGGAGCCTAGATTGATAATATATCAGCATAAGTAATTACCGGGACAGTCACCCAAGAACATGATGCTTACACCTGCTCCTGGTCTCGTCGGTGGAGCCCTTGTCGGGTCATTTTCGGTCGGATACGCCTGGCCATCGCGAGAAGGGGTGATGAGACCCTAAGAAACTATTAGTATAAATGAAAGCCAGTAAGTTGATGTAGTGAACAGGAAAACTCACTCCTGGTGGGCCGTTGGTTGGCGGGCCCTTGTAACCATTGCGAGCATTGGCCACTGGGTTGGCGCGAGGGGGACCAGAAAGACCTGGGTGGCCACCGACTCTTGAGACATTCGAACCACGAGCAACAGGGCCAGATAGACCGGGATCGGAACTACCCAAGGGGCCCCTTGGAGTATTGATTGGGGGATGTGTCTGCCCGGTACGAGGACGTTGCGCTTGTGGTCCATTAGAGGCAGAGCCTTCACGTTTTCTCTTCGCAGAATTATCAACAGGGTTCGTTGGCGGGTTTGAATTTGTGGCTTGAACAACCGGGATTTTGGGGTCGTGTCCTCCCAGTTGCCGCTGTCGCTGACGCTCAGTGAATGAATCTTGACGTTGCTTGAGGTTAAACTCGTCCCTCTCAAGGCGAGATTTCTCAAACTTTGAAAGAACTTTTGAGGACTTGCAGTTGTTGGATAAATGCCCACATTCGCCGCATGCAAGGCATCGTTCAGCACGGCAGGCAACCTTGGTGTGACCAGGCTGGCCGCAGCGGAAACAGGTTCCTCGAGCATTTTCCTTCGCCTCGTCATTGTCGCAGTTGTGAGTGAAGTGGTCCGCGCTTCCACAGATCCCACACATTTTCGTCGGGTCTAGGCCCTTGCTTCCCCCAGAAGGTCCATCAGGTCGTGGAATTGGAGGTGTGCCGTGCGTAGGGGTAGAGACAGAGACGGAGCGCGAGTCAAGGCCAATAGAGGCCGATGAAGGGCGAGAGATTGATGGTGCAGGGGGTTCATAGTCGGGAGAGTCTGGGGTTTCCTCGGTGTCAAGGTCGACCATTTTAATTTCTTTGTAGCCAGTGAACTGCGGCTTCTGTAGGATCTTCATAATATCACCCTCCGTGTAGACATTCCGCTCCCGCGCATTCTTGATGAGACCATTCCAAAACTGGCCCTGTTCTAGGGACTGCGAGTTACCCAGAACCCAAAGTGATGACTTGGCACGGGTGAGGCCGACGTTCATACGGCGGATATCAGCCAAGAAACCGATACCCTTGTTGGATGCTCGCACACATGAGAAGATAATGACTTCACTTTCTCTGCCTTGGAAAGCATCAGTCGTATTGAAATCAACCTTCTTCAGAATGTCTTCGCCATATCGTTGGGTAAACTGGTTCTTGAGCTCTCTCAGTTGGCCCTTGTAAGGAGTGATGATGCCAATCTTGCCGGCAAAGTCGTATTCTTTGACATCTGTGATCAAACGATCATACAGTTGCATGGCCACTTGTAACTCCGCGTAATTGACCAAAGAATGGCCTCTAGCGGCAGATGAGTGCATGCCCTGAACATCGAAAAATCGGTACGGACTCAGAAGCTCGCTTTGATGCCAGGGACGCTCGCGAAGCTTAGCCATGTCCGGTCCATCCTGCAACTTGCCATCATAGAACGTCACACTGGGGAAATTACTGATCGCTGGATGCATACGGTACTGGATATCCAGCAGGTGCACGTCTTGAGGGTGATTCTTCTGCATACGGACGAACAAACTCTGTTCATACTGAAACTTGGAGGCCATTTTTGATAGAACGGTTGGAGGCAACTGTTTGGGATCACCCACAAGAACACATTTCGAGCACCCGTACTTCAGCGGGATCAGAGCACTGAGTTCAATACACTGCGCCGCTTCATCGATGATGACGGTTTCAAACTCGACATTCATACCCTGGAAAATTTCATGCCCAGAACCACTGAGAGTAGTGCAGATGACATGAGATTCGTTGATGATTTGTTCTTGGATCCGCCGTTTATGCATATCAGCATTACGGGCCAGCGTATGGTTCTGATCACGCGCTTTATCAATGGACGTGCTCAGTTGAGATCGCTTCTTTTTCATCAAGTCAAACTCGCGCTCCAGCTCTTCCGGAGGAGGTAATCCCTTTGCTCGTGCTTCATCAAGCTGTCCACGAAGCTCTTTGAATACCACATCAGTCGTCTTATGCTCTTCATAGAGCTTCTGCAAGTCGACACCGTTTCCTTTGCTGGGATCCTGGTTCAGACGGGCATTGACCATCTCATCGAGGGTAACATCCAACACCTTGGTGTTGATTGCGTCGCTTCTTCCTAGACGAAGGACAGAGACTTTTTCTTGCCGGCCATGAGTCGTCTTCACACCGTCCTTTAATCGCATGACTAACTCGTCGACAGCGGCGTTACTAGGCGCACACAGGAGAAGTTTCTTTGAGACGGCATTTCTTGCAGCAGGAGCACCATTAACTTTGACCACCTGTTTTCCAAGCACGTCGCTTAGGAGGCTTCCGACAAGGGCGACGATGGTTTTGGTCTTTCCCGAACCAGGAGGACCTTGGATGAGAGTAAATGCGTCGTTGTCAACAGCTGACTTGATGGCTTTTGCCTGGGCACGATTGATGGAGTAATTATCCATGATGGGCTGCAGTCTTGTGTCCGAATAAGTAAGAAGAGGGGAAGGCTTAGCCAAGACGATCTCTTCACACAGATCATAGTACTGCAACGCCATCAGGGCACCGTATTCACGCTCCACCGGGGTCAAAGAAGTGATCTTAGCACCCCAGGCCTCAGTTCCCGGCCCAAAAGAAGACAGGAACTTGCTACTCCCAGGATTGACCCGATATGTGACCTCCATCTTTTTGTTTTTCCGATTGACACCACATACACGTGCGAGAACATGGGGCGTACTCGGGTCGCTTGTGAGGTTGGGCGAGTTGGAGAACAAGACCAAGTCACCTTCGCCCATGCTGAAGTCCTTGGGAAGAAGACCAAGCGGCTGGGTGCTGAATTCGATCCACGAGTCGACAGCCAATCGGGTCATGACTTTGACTTCGAAGGGTCGGAAAGAACCTTCGTCCTTCGCCTGTTGGAAACCTTGCCACGCCTCAAGAATCAACAAAGGTTCGAATGTACTTTGGTAGTCATCGGGTGTGCGGAACGTGTTTGAGACCAGGGAATAATCGGTGCGGTCCGAGGTAGGAGGAAGATCGCCGGTTGCGAAAAAGTCCCAGGAGAGGATTGAGTGATGAAGAGAGCCCAGATCTGGAGCCAGGCGAGCTCGCATGTCCCGGACAGACCGATGACGCTTGACTTTTTTGACGGGTTGTTGTTGAAGGGATTGTTTCTTGCTCAATTCGTAGGCCGCGACAGCATCGGGTTTCTTCGGTTTGGCACCAAAGAGTTCCTTGTCTAATTCATCTTCACTCTCAGAACCAGACTCATCACCAGAGGAGACCATCATGCTATCTGCGGGGGTTGTATGATCTTTACCCTTGATACCAATACCTTTCAGGCCTGAGCCCTGTTCAGCTGTTTGCTCCCCAACGCCATAGGCGGGCATGTTCTTCTTGAGTCTGGCGAGCTCAAGCTGATCACGCTTCTTCTTGGCCTCCCTTTCCCGTTCGCGTTTCTCACGGAAAGATAGGACGTGGCTGGTGTTATCGTTGGTTCGTACAGGGGGAGCTGACTTGGGGAACATGTTCGGACGGAAAATCTCCGGACGATTCTTGACAGCTGTTGTTGAGGATCGCATTTTGGCAGCCTTTTCAGCCTCCCGTTTGGCCTGGGTTGCGAGGCGGGCTTTGTTGAATTCGACAGAAGAAGACAGTTCAAGAAGAGTTTGGTCGTTCAAAGTATCATCATCAAAGTCATCATCACTGGCTATACGAGAGGAGGTGCTCGAGATATCAGAGGGTTTGGCAAAAGCGGTGATCGAAGACTGTTTCTTGAGAGAAGCAGTTGAGGCAGTGACGACGGGTTTCTTATAGTAAGCCTCCAATGAGCGGACTAATTCTGCCTTTTCACGTTGGTTGAGTATTGTTTTGATTGTGCCATTGACAGCAACCCCCTCGATAAAGCTCAATGCATCTGGCTTCACAGTGGTCACATTCATCCCACCCAACCTGCGTAAAAGCTTTGCCACCAACCCTACGAGAGTAGTTGCCAGGAACTCATCCTTCAACCTAAGCCATTTTACCATGGCACTCATTGTGGCAGTTGGTGACTTGAGGAAATTCTCGGATGCAGAGGTCTGCCCCGGATCCGCATTCCCTACAGCTCCCAAGAACACACCATACTGATCAAAGAGAAGGTCGGCGAACTGGATCGTGTCACGGCAAAATTCAAGCATGACAGCCTTATCATTACCCCGAAGGTGCCATGCCTCAGTCTCATCGAAGATCGTAGTCAATGCCAGCCACAGATACTCCCAGAGTTTCTGCAGCGACATGACCTCCCGGCGATCAGCGAGATTACGAGTTCGCAGCATACCGGTTTGACTGTCACATAATATCTCTACGATGTCTGTACCTGTGTAAAGCATTCTTGGGGCGGGCGCAAAAGTCTTCATGTTAGAGATTCGACGGAATGACCAACTGAGGCCGTAGATCGTGGTCGTGAACGAAGATTGAAGGAGGTGAGAAATGGCGTCTCGTCGAGCCGATTGGCCGCTGACAGCCTTAATCAGATCAACCGCAGCTGTGTAGGTGTCATAGTCGGCGGCAAACAGAGCCGAAATCACAGCGCTACTAGTATCCTGACTTCGGAACAACGTCTCAAGGTGCTCAGGTGGAAAGTCTGCGAGACGCCCGATGATTCGACATGAGAGGTTGGTTAGATGGCCATAAATCATGTTGAAGTGGGTCTTCTCCTTGTTCCCTTCTCCTTTCGTGGGAAACATCTCCAACCCAACCAGGGGTAAGATTCCAAGGAGGGCTGAACTTGAGAGCGGGAGGTTATCCCGGTGAAGGTGCTTAATGACGGCATCCCATATGGGTGCAGAGTAGGTAGATACCCCGTGTGCGAGGGTACCGTCCTTCAGAAGTGCCTCATAATCGGTCTTCAGTGACTGACACTCCAATGCCAAGGTGTTGCGTACAACTTCCATGCACTGCGTGAGAATATTCTCCTGGCGACTTCTCTCAACGTCAAAAGTCGGGGGGTTGATGATTACGCCGATTGTGTCACCAACCACTCCCATTGTCTCTGCCAACACGATCCGAGTAACTGTACCCCGGGAAGACTCATTTTCCGTGAAGCGGCGTAGTGTTTGAAGCAGGCTGGCCAAGCCAATATCGAAGCAGTGATACCGTGTTAAATTAGGATATTGGGTATCTTGAAGGCGGTTAAGTAACTGCAATGTCAAGAACCGACAGGCAGACGGTTGGTGGGCACCCTTCAGTGAGCCGAGGAAGGGATTGATCCAGGAGAGCATATCTTTCAATGCGGACTTCTCAAAAGGCTCACCCTCGGAGGTTCCTAATAGAAATGCATTAAATTGTGTGTTGTAAAATGTTTGCTCCATGATTGCTCGAGGGGAAATGGTTTGCATAGCATCCCAGAAGTCAACCGGAGCTTTCTGAAGGAATAGTTGGATGGTGTTGAGAAGAAATCGCAAGCCCGGTGCAGGTATGGCCAGATGATCCACAGAGAGACGGCAAGGGTCTATTTCCAACCCTCGAAGCTGATGTGTAATCTGTTCTTTGTCCAGCTTTCGGACGACGAGCTGCATGCCTCGCCACAACCTCTGAATGACTGCAAATTGCGGTGGCTGTTGTGACGCAGCTCGTAGGCCCATCAACAAACCATCGCGTACTGCCCATTCAAATTCTTGAGTAGTAGGAGGCCGCGCGTATCGTGTCCATGACTGAATAGCCCAAAAGCTTCGGAATTGATTAGCATCGAAAAGAAAGCGAGAGACTGCAGGAATGTAATCTGAAACTTTTAAGCTTCGTTTTGTTTGAATGAGCTTGAATGGCTCATCGAAATATTCCTGCAAGAGGCTTTCGTTGCGCAGCATGGCTTCACAGCTTAGTGTCTCAAAGATTGACAGCAACGCAGCCCTGTCCAAGACATCCAAGCCAATTTTTTCCAATGGGATTTGCTTCAACTGTGTTGTGGCGGTTGTCAAGTTGCGAGTGATTCGCCGAATGTCCCACTCGTCGATTCTCTGGGCGAATGCCTCAATATCATCTTCGTGGTAGTTCTCCTCCTTTAGCAGGTCCATGAGCCAGATCTTGCCGATGTAATAATGCTTGATGCATAGATCACATTTCTCCAGCGACTCGTCTAGTTTGCCCAGGACCCAGTTCTGATCGTCCTCTACGCCATCCTTATGGTATGCCAGGATGCGCATGGACGACAGAAAACTCTCTCTTCGAGCCGTTGCTTCGGTCACAATATCCTTGATAGCCTTCCCCGCTTCATCCACTTGCTCTAAGTCTTCATAGCGTCCATGGTCATCGTCGTCTTTCCGGGGGCAGAAGAGGTGGGTGGCTTCCGGGAGGGCCTTGAGTTCTCTGTACAACACGCAATCCGGTTAGTTCCAGCTCATATGTGTCGATATACTTTCTGAGGCCTACCTAATCGCAGCCAGAAACTCCATGACGACTATAGTCTCGAATTGTGGAGATAGTTGTATTGAAAAAACAGAGTACGGTGCATTTCCTTCATCCCATGGGCAGACCAGCTAGAACATCGTTTTGCCGAGAGGTAACACTGATTTCGAAGTGATTCCGCCTGTGTTGGCTCAACTGCTGATGAGAGAATCAAATTAAGTGACAGGAGGCTCAAGCGAAGGACAAAGTAATGTTGTTAGTAGCGAGTGGCCGTGCAACCGAATGTCGTATTTGACCACGATATGCTGATACTTCGGCGATGGAAGAGACGATGGATCGGCGAAAAGATTGAAAGCACCTTGTGCCTCAAAGAACGAGACTCTATGTTTAGCCCAAGCAAATGAGGAAGAGAGGATGGCGAACAAAAATCCCCAGAGCAAACGTGGGATGCCGAAGTGCCATTGGCAGATTATCTGGGCGGTGAAGTTCTGTTAACGCGTAGACGCGCTCTATTTTACCCAACTGGGACACTATTTGGAACCTTGGATGTCATGATATTGATATAATATAAGGCTACAAAATGGGGCAGATTTTCTCAAGGATCTACCCTTTGGAAAGTTTAGAACTGTGCAGTAGGAACGTTAAATGGCCACATTAAGTAATTTCCTCGCTGAGGGCATTGAATAGAATACATGAATGCGACCCCGTATGCCCGCTTGTCCTTTTTGATGGCGGAAACAAACAAAACACATGAACAACAACAAAAGCAAAGAGATCATCCGACAAGATATAACATCCAGATGGGAAACAGACAACAGGAAACCTTTCAAACGCGGGTGTCATGCACTTTGCAGGGACAGAAACGCTTTTGTACAAGGGAAAAACAGGCCAGTGTAGAGCATGCATCGGAACCATACAAGGAAAACAATCGAGGCAGCGGTTAACAAGGAAAATGGTAAGAGTGAAGGGGATAAAAACGAAGATCGCGCTAAGCATCCGACCGAGTAAAGGAGTAAACCAGAACGCCTGCTTTCTATCAGGGAATATAAAAGGCTCTCAAAAATAAAAACACCACAGCATATTGCTCGTCAAAATAGGGATGGCGAGGAGAAATCACAAGGAATAAACCAGACGGTGTGATGCGGGTAAAGTCATCAGTGACGGGTCATCAGGCTCAATGCAACACAAGATGCGCTCCTCTATATCACATTATGTACAGGAGGATCATCAGGAGTCCGGAACGGGTCTTCATGTTTATGGTGTGGTGTTTGCGACGTTTGCGACGATTCCACCCGGGAAAGCATGGCAGCGGAGGTAAAGTCATTGCTTTGCTCGAAGCTCGGTCGACTCCGGTCAAACGAATGCCGTGTCCGGTCGTGAGATCGGCGAACATAGTCCACGGACTGTGGTCGTGGATACTGGTCAAGACTGGCGGTGTAATTGGTGCCGTTACTGCCGTTTTGACTGCGGGGGTTGTGGGTGTTTGCAGTTGGGGCCACGGATGGAGCATAGAAGGGCCGCTCCTCATCAAGAACGGTAGTGTCCTGCTTCATAGCGGGCTGCACTGGCTTCACAATTTCCGAAGAGGTGGCCGATTCATCACTGCGAGCCGCGGGCTTCGGGCTGCCCTCTTTTGGGGGCAGCGGGGGATCATCTATGGCATCAAGATACTTGAATTTGCCCAGAGTCACTAGCTCGCGGATGATGTCGACATCAAGCGGGAAAAACACCTTCTGGACGGAGTTGTACGTGAAACGGGGAAGCAAGCAAATCACAACAGTCATCAGAAGCACGATCCAGTAACTCAATGATCCATAAACTTCAGCAGCGCCATGGAAGAATTGACCAGAGGAAGTGAACGAGGTGTAAATGCCGGTCCACAAGAAGATGAGAAGACTGCTGATGGCATTAATGAGAGAAGTGAACCAATCCCACCGGTAAGTATTCATCATAATGTAGAGATTGCTAGAAAGCACGGCACAGGATGCGACGAGGATTCCGATACGAGCTCGGTCGTTGACATTCCGTCCAGATTCGTTGACGAAGTTTGCCGGCGCGTATAGGAGGTAAGGCATGAAGAAACAGATGATTGACTGGTACATGCCATCGGCCATATACAACCTGTTCAAGTTAGTATATCTCAACACACCTCAAGATTTGGGGCGAAGGGTTCAAGTACCAGAACTTAAGTTGCGACCATTCCTTGCGCTCGATACCTCTCATATACAACTGAGGTACGGCAAGAGAGACCTTATCGTCCACGTCCTGATCGAAGATACCCATGAAGATCACAGGCAATGAAGTGAAGGCGAGGTTGACCAACACAATATAGGTATAGTCGAAGAGATAGGAGCAATCAAAGTCGTTGTAGATACAGTACCAGAACAGAGCGAACGTCCACACAAGATTCTAGGAGAAGTCAGTGATAATACAATATGATATCCAGTACCAACACCACATACCTTGTAGAAGAAGTTGGCCGTACATTCGCCGAGCCGACGGTAAGACCATCTCCCATGCACCAAAAGGAGGCGCTGGAGATACCGGAACTGGCCAATCGCATAATCGGAAGACATAACGGCTTGTCTACCTTCTTCGCCAGCAATACCGACACCGACGTCAGCCTCTTGGATCATAGCCACATCGTTCGCGCCATCGCCAATGGAAAGAGCCATGATGTTCAGTCCGTTTTTGACCATGTTCACGACAGCGGCCTTCTGTGCGGGACTGACGCGGCAGCAAAGAACGGCTTTGCACTGCTTACACAGCAGAAGGAATTTTTGCTTCAAGTCATCGGATAACATCAGCTTGAGGGTTTCACCATCAACGACCACGGCATGCGTAGCCTGAGGCGGCGAATGATCAGCACGGGCAGCAAGAAGTTCCTCGTCGGAACCGGTCAACCCGAAAGTTTGCAAATGCTTGTCGAGTTCGTCAGAGGCCTGCTGGTGTTCAGTCTCGGGAATGTTCAACACAATCAGCTCCATGTTATTATTGAGGAGGTTGCAAGAAAACCCAATGTTGATGGCGGTCTCAACCTTGTCGCCAGTAAGGACCCAAAGTTTGATACCAGCGTCCGCAAGAAGCTGGATTGTGTCGGGCACGCCATCCTGAAGTCTGTCCTCAATGGCAGTGCCACCAATAAGCATGAGCTCCTGTTCAATCTCGCTAGAAACCTTCTCTAGTTTCTCCTCACGGTCCGTGATGGCAGCGGCAGCAATATCATGTTCCCTAGCCCATGAGTAGTATTCATCCTCACTAAGCAGTCGGTCGGCAATACACAAGGTCCGGAGGCCTTCCCTGGCGAACTCCTCCAGGTGCTCTGCAGTTTGTCGACGAAGCTCCTGTTGCTTGCCACGAGCTAGACGAGAGTAAATGATACTGTCCGCACCCTTGCAGAACAAACGAATCGTACCATCAGGCATTCGGATGATTGCACTCATTCGTTTTCTGGATGAGTTGAATTCAAGGGTGTTCAAAACTGTATATGTGCGTTCCTCGCCCATAACGTTCAGGAGAAGATCGTCACCGGCTCGGCCCAAAACAGTGAATCCGCAATCTCGAGCAGTGCTGACCAACGCTGTCTCGTCGGGAGACTGGGCCCTGAATTCAATTTGAGGGGGATCTCCAGGAGTATGCTCGGTAATAACGGTATGACACAAGGCAAGGGCCAGCATGAAGTCCTCTGTACAGTGCTTCTGCCGGTCTCCGGATTTTCCTCCCAAGTCAGCCACAAATTTCGGCGCAATGAACGTCAGCTGGTCGTCATGCAGGTAAGGGTTGTCGTGGATGCCACGTAACAGATCCAGCATTCGCTGCGCATCAGCAGCAATTTGCTTCCGAGCCACTGCTGCTTCTGCATCGGCATCGGCTCCCTCGCGACGCCGCATGCCGATCTGAGCTTCCGTGTAAGCCTCTCCATATGCCAGGCCGTTGACCGTACATTTTTTGAACTCCATCATGTTTTGGGTCAAGGTACCAGTTTTGTCAGAAAAGATGTACTCGACTTGACCGACGTCGTCTGAAATGTTCCAAGACTTGGGCACACAATAGATCCCTAGTCTCTCGTAATACATGTAAAGATCGCGGTGGATGAAAACCGCCTGGATGGTCCGAACAATTTCAAGAGAAATGTAAAGCGAAATGGGCACCAAGTTCTGGAACAGGATGACAGCGGTCCAGAAAGTGACAATACCAGTTACCGGTGGTGTGCCTCCATAGGACCCAAAGTCAAAGTAGTCTAGAGATTTGTCTGGCGCGGCCCATGCGACTCCATTCACAATACCTGCGACAAGACACATGAAGAACAAGATGACAAAGTTGTAAATGACGTTCCAGTTGAGAGCCTTTGCCATACGAGGTCGTTTTGCTGGGGTCGCGCCGGAATTAAGCATGATCTTGCTCTCTCCGCCGGTGAAGAGGACAACACCTAGAACCCATTCGGTACTCTTCAAATTGCAACCACGAAGCAAGATGTTGTTGATAGAGATGGGCTCAACCATCTCCTTCCGGGGAGCTTCGGGGAAATTTGGGTCGCGCTGGTCCCAACGCACGGCACCATTGTAAGAGTACAGATTGGGATGCGGGGCCTCACTTTCGATCACAAATTCAGCCTTTTCGCAGTCTCTGGCGTGTCGAACTTGCCGGCCACAGTGGAGAGCTTGGCGGACCTTCAAGTTAGTCTCTCCATCTAGGCCTTTCGTTTCGACATAACAGGCGCCATCCGGGTCAGAAGTGGACAGAATCACGATATCGGCTGGAATCGGATCTTCGTTGTACAATCGGACAAAGTCGCCAACTTGCAGGCTTTTCCACTGCTCTCGCTTAAATCGGGCCTTGCCGGGTGTCTGCTTGGATACGTCCAGGACGGTTCCATGTTTCTTATCCGGCGTAGGCTCCACGACGCTCTGTCGAGCTGCGCTGTTCGGCGACAGATACTTGTTTTCGGGTTTGCTCATCATCGGCCAATCTTCGCGAGCTTCGGGCTGAGGCGATGGAACGTCGGTCATCGGGATGGCGACGTCTTCTGGGACTATGGAGTTGCGCT